GCCGCCCTCGTAAATCTTCGGGTCCTCGAGCTTCTTCAAGTGAGCCCGATCTTTGGCCGGCATGGCCTTGGCCAGGACGACGTGGCCAGGGACGAGATCATTAAACACGCCCCCGCCGACGGGGTATTCTACCACCTTCTGGTAGGTGGCACCGGCAATCTCCTTGCCGGCCCTCTGCGTCCGTGGTTCCTGGACGAGAGGAAGCGCTGGGGCAGCATCGTCAGCAACAGTAAGGTCCACGACGGGACCACCATCGCCCACGCTGGGGACAGTAAGAGTACCGGCCTCACTAGCCGGAGAAGGGGAAGGAGCCCTCTTCGTCTTCTTAGAGACGCTCACGCCGGCCTCAGTCAACTTTTTCTGGCCGTCAGTGGCCGGTCTCTTTTTCTTTGATGGGGCAGGCTTTGGGGCCGCATCAGCAGTAGCCCCGCTCCCACCAGCAGCGGCACGTCGGGCCGCCTCGGCCGCCTTAGCAGCCAGCTCCTCGGCCGCCTTGGCCTTGGCAACAGCCATTATGGAACGTCGGTCCATGACAAAGTCTACAAGGGAAAAACAAACAGATTAGTAAGGCAAAGGACAAAACATAAAGACAGAAAGCCGAAGAAAAATTACCATCGGCCTCAGCAGGAATGCCCAAATCCGGGCCATCGGCCTCCTCAAAGGTGGTGGTCATCCTCGCCAGAGTTGGAGGTCATCCTCCTTATCTCCATACAGGTGATATCTGAAGAAGCCGAGGGCGGTCATCTTGTATTCAGTAACGTAATCTTTCATGCTCCTCGGCCCCCCTTCCAGGAAAGCCTCCACCAGAGCGTCCAAAATAGAGCTCTTCGGCGGGTCATGGAGATTGAACCTCCCGGTATGGCCGAGAGAGGGGAACTCGGTGCCACTCTCACCAATGGACACAAACACGAACTTGCTCTTCCACCCATGAATGGACGTAGGCAAATCCGTGAAGCTCCTCTTCCTCGGCAACTGTTGAAGAGTAGCATAGGCCGCACAGTTCTTGTGGCTTCCTCGGCCGATCTGGTACAAGTTCATGAATAAGGCCGTGGTCGGCCTGAAGCCCAACTCCTCACACCGAAGTAAAAAGCCCACCATCAAGGAATAACTGTTCGGCGTCAGCAAGGCCGGAGGAAGCCCCACCATGTCCAGATACTCAATGACGAAAGGGTGAAGGGGGAACCTCAACCCCTTAGCAAAACTCATCGGGTATACTCCAAAGTATCCCGGTGGCGGAAGTAGAACATGGTCCGTCGGCCTGGGTGCCCTAACCCGCCCGAACAGCCCCACGTACATCTGGGCGACAAGATAGTCGGCCGCACTGCTCTCCGGCTTGATCAGGAATATGTTGGTGAGGTCCAGGTAGGAGAGGCCCGACCCATTCTTCGGCCTCCTCACCCTCTTCGGCTTAGCTGCTCCCTTCACGGCAGACACCGGCCTCGGGCACGGAACGGCAGCAGAAGTGGACGCCCCGTCCACCGCTCGGGACGCGCCTACGTCCTCACCCTCTGAAGAGGAGGCGGACTCCTCGTCCTCGCCTTCCTCATCCATCAGCTCTCCGGATTTGTAGGGGCTCAAACGCTCTATCTCCTCTTCAAACTCCTCGAGCACCTCGTAGTCAAGCGACCTCGTGGAGGGCTGGTCGTCGTAGGGGTAGTAGTCCTCGTTCAAGCTCTTCATTACTACTACTACGGGCTTAAGGAGAACAACTTAAGATCTAAAGGTGTTTAAACGCCTAACACTAGATCAACTACCTAGGAAGTAAAGTATGAAAAGCGAGGAAGATCGTGATGAACACTAACCTCGAACAACGAAGAACACGAAGAACAAGCTTGGGAGTTTATCTCTCTAGAAAATCGGCCAGCACTTCGACAAATTCAGAATGCAAATGTGATTCCTCGTCGGAGGGGAAGGGGTATTTATAGACCCCCCCACCAACGGTCACTACACGTGGCACTCTCCCAATGGCCACATCAACGGCCACCACTGGGAGGCCACCACGTCACCAACGGGCCAGGACCAACCCATATCAACGGCCCACCGGCAAATCAGACTCTACGGCCTACACACGCTCAGCGGCTTTACAACTGCCAGCAAGCGCCCACAACGTCCGACTTGCTCGCCAAGATCACAAATGCCAAACAATAAGAAGATGGCAACGGCCAGGAACGTAACGGCCACAGAACAAAGTGGACAAATAGCCCACAGCCTTCGGCTCCTCGTAATAACCCTTGATGATAACTCTCTACAAGCGATCTGCGCACAAGGGTTCTCCCACAGGGTTACCTTGGCCAGAAAATCGCCATGAGAGTTGGATTCAGGGGGACTACGGAGATGCCGCTTCGGCCAGGGACTCAAGCAACTCCTTCACCCCTCGCACTCCTCGGCCTGAAGCAGTGGGGGACTGGGGGACTACACCGGCCTCAACGAAACAAAGAGTATAAATAAGGTAACCACAAAACATGGCCACATCATCCACACAGCACAACGGAACCTCATCGGCCAAAGGCCCAAAACGTCATTAGCGACGGCCAACAAGCCACTAGAGGCAAGGACACTCATCGTCCTCCGCCAACAATTAATCTTGACGGGCCCTTCGGCCAAGAACACGAAGGCCAACCAGCAACGGCCAAAAGGAGTGCGCGAGCACCCTCATCGGCCACCCAAAGGAAAGGACGCCATCGTCCTCAAAGCAAGGAACAACCTCACCGGCCCAAACATAAACTTCAACCACCAACGTCCAGGAAAGGGAAAGCGCGCCTTCAACGGCCGACATCGGAACAAGACACTCATCGTCCTCAAACGAACACGTCAAGGAAACAACGGCCTCCCCACCCGCAGCGAAGAACAGGTAACGGCCAAAGCACAGAACAGGATCACCAAAGAGGAAACAACGCCAACGCCGCAACGGCTAAAGGCCCGGGGATGCCCGCATCGGCCAAGGGCAGCAAAGCACATGAATCTACTCTCCTTCGCTTCGTCTACGTCTCAGCTTAGAGAGTGGGGGACTCCTGATGGAGTATATGGGTCTGAGCCCCAGGACCCACATACTCGGAAGAACAGAGCACAAGACAACAGAGTGGCGCCCTCGTCGGCCAAGACGCCCCCGTCGGCCGAAAAGGGGCCAACTCAGATTACGGTCCTGAGTTTAAGGGACTCGGGTGCCCTCGTCGGCCGCGCCCTCGTCGGCCGTGCCCTCGTCGGCCACGCCCTCGTCGGCCACGAAGACCTCCCAGAATCGGATTCTATACTTACTCATTTGTACAGCCCATTAGAGGCTTTGTATTCGGCCCAGTAGCGGTCCAGTTGTAAATGGGCCTCCCAAGCCCAAGGCTTGGGAGCCCAACCCTAATTTTCTCTATAAATACTCCCCTTGGGAGTAGTTATAGGGGTTACAAATTCATTCTATTGAAGCATATTACTGCACTTCTCTCTCTAACTCTCACTTCTCTCTAGAGATATACTCTATCAAAAAGTATACTTCTACAGTTCTAAAAATCACAAATAGTAGTTCTTACCGTGCTTGTTGCAAAAATTAGAACTAGATAATGAACTGGGTGATGGAAAAAGCATAATTTTAATAATAATAATAATAATTTTAATAATAATAATAATAAAAATAGTATATGACCAAATAAGGATAGTTGATAAAGAGTAACTTAGTTATTTTAATGATTATAATTATGTTTAAATTTTAATGCTTATAAAAGTTACTCATGGTGACTTGGGTCAAATAATAGTAATATTCATATAATAATTACAGTATTATAATAATAATATAATATTAATCATAAAATTTATGTTGTAAAATAATATTGTAAACTTGTAATATAAAGTGCTTTCATTGATGGTGTGGGTGAGTGGGTGAGATGAGATTGCATAATTTGCAGCTTGCTCCAAGCACCAACTACATACGATTGTTTAATACTCCTATGTAAAGTTTTGCTCCTCAATTTATCCCACACCGACTGCAAGGATGGTTCACCCTCCTGAGTGTCCTATATATAAATCACTTCTTGGTGCAATCACACCAAGCTCTATTATTACGCATCAGAATCATTTGTTCTCGTGATCATTTGTTCCCATGACTATGAGCTTTAAACAAAGTTTGGGCAGCCTTTTGCTTTTGGAGCTTCTTAGAACACTTCCTTGTAGACTTGGGGTGGGCTGAGTTTTAATTTTTGGGTGGGCTGAAAATTAAATCTCTTTCTATACTAACAAAAAAAATTGGGTTGGGCTGGGCTAGAGCCCACCCTAGGCCCTACATAGATCCGCCCATGCAAGCATCGTAGGCTGCTATGCTCACAACCTGTCGCTGCATCGGTATCTAGGCAAGCTGGCAGTTGACATTCCGATTGCATGAATTTCTCCTCTCACCGTCTTTGCTAGTTTGCTCTTCCGGTCTTCATGGTTGAGTCTGAGACGAATCAGACGATGAGTTTGGGCAGCGACAACGGGGTGTTTTGTACTTCTACGTATAGTTCGCAACAACATTTAAAACAATCTCACCCCTTATGTAGTTATTGCTTAGGAAAAACCCAGCTTAGAATCGGATGGCCACGTACACCGAAAGGGAATCAGGTTAAAATTCTTGAACCGGGACTAAATGATCGTTAGACCACGCTTTCACTGTTCGTGTTCATACCGGAAATCAGAACCAAACGGCAAAGCGGTCAAATTTTTTGTTTGAAAAGGCTCGGTAAGATTGCAAGTCACTGGATCAATTGCAGAAGAACATTTATAAAACTTAGATTATACAGAGTACTGCATATCAGAATTACTTGTAATCCTTGTATTTGAATAGAATTAGTATTTCTATAATTCTATATGAAGTATTTACTAACGATTTAATGTTATAAATATTTCATGAACAAAAGTAGATATTAAAAGCGACTTGTTAGAAGAATATATAGTACTGGTACTTTTATTTTGGAATAAAATAGTAACAGAAACTGCAAAAATATGCGTAGCATTAGTTAAAGTGTGAGAAACGCTAGAGTCCGCAAAGGCGCAAAGGCACAAAAAATGAAATAAAAGTACATGCTTTAGGAGAATCCATGAGTATGTGACTATATAGGAAATAAGCATCTCAGAATGAAAAGAAAAAACCAACAAATACTCGGTATAAAGGAAGAAACAACATAGTGCAGTGTGAATACAACAAAAGAACAGCATGGGAGAACAAAGCTAAGTTGTCAAAGTATGAACACCAATTGGACTTTTGCTCTAATACCAGGCTCAAGCCTCAAGGACCTGAAACTTACATCTCCACAACAATTGCAACTCACACCCAAAAACTGCAAATCCATCCTCAACCCAACCCCTTTCAGGAACAAGAACTCTTACATTCTTCCACCCATATGCCCTTGTCCTTTCAGGAACAAGAACTCTTACATTCTTCCACCCATATGCCCTTGTCCGAAGAAGGGTATTTCACCAGAAAACTTGTTATTGGCCAAATTAATGACTGAAGAAGAGGTTGCATTTGAGTTAACAATACTGTTCTCAATCTTTGAGGATCAAGAGATAAAAGGGCAAATCAGATAAAGCGAAAACTTGTTGCCATCCATCTTACGTAGTAATTCTTAATTGGAAACTGCTCTTCAATATGTACAACGATGATGATGATTATGATAATCATAATAATAATAATAAAAATAATAACAACAATAATCAATAATAATAATAATTTGGAAAAAACGTTCAAAGCTTCTACAGGAGTCAATCAGTCAATGATCGGAATGTAGCAACAGGCACTCGACCATCCTTTTCCACATCCCCATTGTTGGTGCAAACCCATGCCTAACCATTTGCTTTAGTAGCCAGTCGAGTTGTGCAGTTAGATTTTGATCACACAGGCCAAGAATAGCCAATTTATACGACTTGAAACTCGGATTCTCTCCTTTTTCAATCATCATTCCCATAAAGCCTATGGCATCAACAAACCTTTTGGTACTGAGAAGCCCATACAACACCTCCTGAAAAGTCCCCCCGTTTGGATCACAACCTTTGTTCATCAACTTCATGAAAACCTCAATCCCCTCTTCAACTCTCCCTTGCTTCATAAGTCCCGAAATCAAGATATTAAATGTGATTGTATCCGGATCCACTCCTTCCTTTCCCATCCTCTCCAACAACCCATATGCATCCTCAACGCAACCGCGATCACAGAGTGCGCGCATAATTGTTGAAAAAGTCCTCACAGTAGGCCTACAATTTTGCTTAGGAAATTCTTCAAGCACTTGGAATGCACTGTCGAGTTTCCCACAGTTGCATAAGCCCTTTATGATGATATTCAAGCAACATGCATCTATCTCGATACCCAACTTCGAGGCACCCAAAAACACTTCGTGAACAACATCAAACTGCTTTGTGTTCACGAGCAAGTTCAGAACAAAATTGAATGTTCTTACACTCGGCCAACACTTGTAATTAGGCATATCAAAGAGGGTAGATGTGGCTCTGTTTATTCTTCCACCTACATTCCCATAGATCTTGATCACCTCGTAGAAAAACTCATCGGAAAGCCTGCATTTTCTCTCACATTTGATTCTTTCCATAAGGGTGTCAATTGCGTCAAAGTTCTTGGAATTGGCAAGCTTGTTGATGACCGCTGAGTAGAGTGCTTCACTAGGGCTGTAGTCTTTTCGTTTTGAGATTTGTGTCCACAGATTCAAGGCTGAATATGGGTCTTTCAGATTATGGAAAATTTTGATCACTTGTGTAGGACTGAGCCAGTCTTTGTGCTTTTGGGAGTCGAAGTTTTCATGATTTTGGGTTTCAGGTGACAAAAGACTGGGTCTTTCAGCAAAAGTTGAATGAAACAGTAAAGATTGTGAAACGTGCATCTGGAATATGGGTATGTAGGCTGTAAGGGATAGTCGAATCATTGTCTAGACCGGTGAATGAATTGGAACTGATGAATAATTCATTCTCTACATCTATCTCTTATATCTATCTGAATATAAGAGCAAAAGATTGTGGACAGTGTTTTGCCGCTCAAAATGAATGGCTATTCTAGAAGACTATTGTAAAGTTACAATGTCTGAACATCCTAAAAGGAACATGCTGCATAAATGTAAAACAATTACTGATGTGCTTTTCATATTTCCTGCACACACAAATAAGCATCATTAATTATCCAGCAGTACTACTGACCATTCACATACTGAAAACATGTGCCCATAAAAACATGAACATCATATACGCTTCATAGTACTTTTTCAAATTATCTAACTTCTCTTTGGCTTAGTTCTGAGAACCTGTGAGAGTTTGTTGAAACAAGCAGCAAATTAAGAAGCAATAATGGGTTTTGTGTTCTTTGGTCAAACATATTGGCTACCACAAGACATCATGAGCCATCAAAGTGATATCTGTACGAGTTTAAACTATTCTACCAAAGATGGCCACAAACCAACATGATGAAGATTGAAGAGGCAATTCACATACTATGGTAGTGTTTTCAAACACCTCCAATATAAGAGTTAAATAGCAAAATAGCAATTTTTTTTTAAAAAAAAAGCAAATTAGCAGAATACCGGGAACTCAGGAAGTACTGAAGTCTGGGGCCGAAGGAGCTGGATTATGGGAAGAATCGAAATTCGGGGTCGCAGCATTAGAAGGATCAGGACCGGGCGCCGGTCGGGAGGCGGCCATGCGTCGTAGGGTGCCAGGTATCTGGGCCGGCAGGGAATTAATTTGGGATGAGCTGAGAATTAATTTTGGGATGAGCTGAGTAATTAAATACCTATACTAACAAAAACAAAATGGGTTGGGCTGAAGCCCACCCCTGACCTAACTATCATCCGCCTCTGTGGATAAGATAACTGATAGCTCCAGTTTTGTACTCCCTCCGTCCCATTGGACTTTGCCATCTTTTTTTTTGTTATCCCAAAAAACTTTTCCACTTTCCATTAAAGTAACTATTTTGTGGTTTTACTCAATTCTCTCTCCTTTGCACAAACTTCAACCACACAATTTTTATTATTCTTATTTCTCACCTAACTTAAGGAGTGCAAAGTTCATTGAGACGGATGTAATATTAAGTATCAAATCCAATAAATTGCCTTATGGATAAAAGTCAAGTGTACATGTTGTAGTATCATCCTTTCCTCTTTTGCCTCGGGCGTGCCATTCACTTGTTGGACCACTAGTTGGCTATCTGACCGGACTTTGAGTTGATCGGCGCCCAGGGCCTTTGCATATTTTAACACTGCAATGAGAGCTTCATATCCGGCCTCATTGTTGGTTACCTAAAAGTTAAAATGGATGGAATAGTATGCTTTAAACCCTTCGGGTGACGTGATCACGGCTCCACCCCCACAACCTTTTGCGCTTGATGCCCCATATACGTACATCTCCCACCAGTCACTTATCATGCTACCCTTTGACTCAGTTTCCGAAGGCCGAGCGGTACATTCTGCTATAAAATCTGCTAAAGTCTGGCCTTTGATAGTGGGCCGATGCCTAAAGTCCACCTCATACTGCCCGATCAGGAGGCTCCATTTTGTAATGCGCCCGCTAGCCATTGAATTTCTCATGATGGTAGCCAACGGCTGAGTTGTATACACGGTTATTGGATGTGCCTGAAAATATGGTGCCAGCCGTGTGATGGCTGCTATTAGGGCCAATACCGTTTTTTCCATCAAGGTGTACCTAGTCTCCGGCCCGTTCAGGGCTTTACTTACAAAATAAATGGGCCACTGGATGTCGTCTTCTTCTTTTAGCAACACTGAACTTACAGCCAGATCGGCCACCACAAGGTACATATATAGGTGTTCCCCTGGGTCAGCTTTTGTTAATACCAGGGGAGAAGATAGATACAACTTGAACTCCTCGAAGGCCGTTTGGCATTCGGCAGTCCATTCAAAGGGATTGGTCTTTTTCATTATTTGGAAGAATGGAATTGCTCGGTCGTCAAGTGTGGACAAAAATCTGCTTAATGCTGCCAATCTGCCAGTCAATCTCTGAACCTCCTTCAAGTTCCTTGGAGCTTCCATATCCATGATTGCCTTTACCTTTTCTGGTTTAGGCTCAATACCCATTTCACTCATCATATAACCCAGGAATTTGCCCCCCTTAACTGCGAAGGCACATTTCTTGGGATTCAGCCTCATGTTGGCTTTTTGCATTATCCCGAACACCTTTTCCATGTCCAGGACGTGGTCCTCTTTCTTCCGGCTCTTGATCAGGATATCATCAACATAAGCCTCCATTGTTACCCCCAATACTTCTTTGAAAAGTATCCCCACCATTCTTTGGAAGGTAGCCATTGCATTTTTCAACCCGAACGACATCACGATGTAACAAAATACGCCATCTGACGTAACGAATGTTGCTTTCTCTGCATCATCCGGGTGCATAAAGACTTGATGATATCCCCAGAAGGCATCCATGAAACTTAATAATTCGCATCCAGCCGTTTCATCTACCAAGAGGTCAATTCGTGGTACCGGATAGGGATCCATTGGGCAGGCTTTATTCAAATCAGAGTAATCTACACACATTCTCCAGGTGGACCCCTTTGGTGCTAGTACCACGTTCGACAGCCATTCCACATAAATAACTGGCCGGATGTGTTTAATTCGGAGCAAGGTGGCAACTTCCTGCTTAGTGAAATCACGCCGTTCGGCAGCTTGATATCTTTTCTTCTGCTGAATTGGCTTGGCATCAGGCCGAACGACCAACTTGTAACAGATTATGTCTGGATCAATACCGGGCATGTCTTCCGGGCCGTAAGCGAATAGCATCTGGAATTTCCTCATGACCATGATAACACCTTCCTGAATTCCAGCTTCCAGGTCCACCCCGATCTCCACTTTTCGATTGAGGGGAGAGTCAATATCAATCTGCTCTAATAGAGTAGCAGGCTCGGGATGTGCCTCGAACTCTGTTCGGTGAGCTTCAACCTCAATGCTGTTAACCTGCATTCCTCGAGCATTCATATTCTTCAAGGCTTCCCGATAGCACGTTCGGGCTGTTGTTGGATCAGTTCTCGCCACCCCAACCCCAGTATCTGTTGGGAATTTGATACACGAGTGGCGGACAGAGGCTATTGCTTCCAGATCTTCCAATCCCGGTCGGCCCAAAATGGCGTTGTGGGCACATTTAATGTCCACCACCACAAACTTCATTCGGACCGATGCTTTGTGTGTTTCATCTCCAATTTCGGTCATCAACTGGATCGTGCCTTCAGCCTTAATGCAATTTCCTGTAAAGCTCGCGAGCGGTGTCCTCAAGTGAGTCAGTTGATTTCTTTGCAGGCCCATTTTTTCAAACGTTTGTAAGTACAATACGTTCACGCTGCTTCCTGTATCTATTAACACCCGTCGGATCAAAGCATTATCTATACACATGCTTATCACCAACTCGTCCCTGTGCGGACTTTGTGAGTTGGGCAAATCTGCAGGCCCAAATGTAATTGGGTCCATCCTTCCTTTCTTTTGGGGTGGTGTGGCTATAGAGCCCACGTACAGGCTCCGTTCAAATTTCTTTCGTTCGGCGTTCGAGTCACCTGTCTCTCCACCCCCAAATATAACCTTCACCTCCATTCTGGGTTTTTTACTCGGGTTCCCCGAACCTTCTGGTTCATCTCTGGGAGGGTTATATACATCATTTCTGGGGCGAGCATCACGCTGACCGTCCCGCCTCCAGCTGTTGGGTCTCTTGACCGGCTTCAGAATGCCTGTAGCATTCGGGTCTGTATTTACATATTTACCCTAATGACCCCTCTCGATCAATTTCTCAATTGCTATTTGTAATGCCCGACAGGATTGGGTGGAGTGACCGTTCCTGTTGTGGTACTTGCAAAAAGCATTCTCATCTGCCCCCATTTAATTTTTGGTGTCAATCGGAGGGGGAATGTTGTCCTTCTCGTTCTGATAAATGGTTGCAATAGACAGGACCAAAGGGGTGAATCGTCCTGCTCTTGGAGGAGGATCGGCCGCTGGGATAGGACCCAACCGATCGGCCAGTTTTATTGGGGTAGGGGGTGTAGCTACCTTATCCCTGATCATGATTTCTTCCTCCAAAGCCGCATGCTTTCGGGATCTGTCCAGCACTTCAGAATACATTGTGCCCGGATTCTTTTTCAGGTCTTTATACAGTTCACCCGTTCGGAGAGCATTAGTAAATAGGGTGATGGATGTATCATCCGTCATGTTCCCAACTTTCTGGGTCTCATCCCTCCATCTTTTCAGGAATTGATTTAGCGTCTCCTTCGGGCCCTGCCTGATACTGGTTAGGTAACTGAAATGCCTTTTTGGAATGGCACTGGAGGCAAACTGGGCCAGGAATAAGGATGATAATTTGGCAAAGCTGCCGATCGATCCGAGCTGCAGGGTCCCGAACCATTCCTGGGCAGGTCCTCTGAGCGTGCTGAAGAAAAGCCAGCAAATGGCCGCCTCCGATGCTCCTAATAGCATAAGCCCCCCTTAATAACTCCTCAGGTGCCCGTGGGGATCTCCCGCCCCGTCATATATCTGACCGGTCGACGGTTTGGCATCCCTGTGGATTTTCGCTTGCATGATTTCCCTGGTAAAAGGGGAAGTGCTCCCAACCCGCACCGGGGTAGTTTGTAGAGGCGTCCTGTTCATTTGGTCCGTCATTTCATTCACATGTCTCCTCATTTCGGCCATTTCTTCCTCCTGGGCCGTTAGGGGAGGCAGTGGTGGAGTTCCTAGGTTAACAAACTCCCGATTTCCTTCCGGCGGAGTTGTTCTGTGATTCTGATGTCCCTGTCTGAATTGTGTATTGTCATGTTCTCCATAATGGAAATGGCGACCCACCGGCATTTCTCCTCTGGCCCGGGACCCGATCGGGGTGTGGTCACTAGGAGTGTGATGCCTGCCCCCGGACGCATGAGTCCTTCTATGCTCTCCCCGATGGGCCCGTGAATGATTTGATGCCGTAGTTGTTTTTGCATCAGTGGTATCGTCATCGAATGACTGCATCGTAGATGGCGTTGTGTACCTGGTTTCCCCTGTATAGCTGGATCGTCCCCCATCCTGCTCATCCGCCAGGTGTTGCATGACCTGGGCTAAATCTCGCATAGCATGGAGGTTCCTCCTCAGTGCTTCGAGAATGAAGAAATCCCCATCAAAGTGCGCGTAGGATCCCCGGCTGGATTGCCCTTGGGGGGGGGGGGCTTTCCCCGCGCCTTCCTGAAGTGTCACCGGTGTGATGAGAAGTGATTCTAACCATTTTGGAATTAGTTTGATGTTTTGGTATGAAATTTTTTGTTCAGTTTCCCACAGACGGCGCCAATGTTGAGGTTTAGTCCCGCAGAACCGAAAGCCCAACACGAACTTTGGATATATCAGGTAAATGACTCAAGAATCACGTGTATACAGAAATATAAAAGATGATTATCGAATACTCCAAAGTCCACTTGTATTAAATAATTGGGAGATTACACAGTAAACTTCCTGAATGGTACGTTGGAATAGTGACTAATAGAAGAAATCAGAGGGATAAATCTATTCTAGGCTTTGATAAATCCTTCTATTTATACTAATGGGGGTATGAGGTGTTTTATGTTGATTGGTTGCTTTATCTAGCCACTTGGAAACCCATACTCCCATTTGCTGCCGCCATACTTTAGCAATAAATGCTCCCTGCCACTTGTTGGCTACCCGATGCCCGAACGGGTAGTGGACCCTGCTGGAATCATCATTGATCTGGCCCAAGTACGTTGGTTGACCCGAACCCCGTTCGGTACA